CTCATGGAGAAGTGATTTTGTGGGAAGAAATGTCATGAAAAGAAATCCCACTGAAATCTGTGGGAGTCCCTGTGCAGGTTCAGCATTTACAGGCCCAAAGTGAGACAGGACCCAAACTGGGCCAGACCCAAACCGAGACAGAAGCCACAAACTGGGCCAGACCCAAACTGAGCTAAAACTTCCAATTCCCTCTTTTTTTAAGAGTCAAACCACGCCTAGAAATGTAATTAAACTGCTAAATTTGATTATCAACATGACATCATCCCACTCTGGCTCCTGGATGAGCTCCAGACAAAACCTCCTCGTCACCTGCATGCCCCATTAATGCCTCCACGTGCTTATCCCGAAATAAATCAAATTCCCTTCATTTACTCCACCCCAAAGCTGGGGAGTAAACTATGTGTTTAATTATAAACTTTCCACTCGGAGCAGCTGTAATTAATGAGCTGAGGAATGTGCAATATGCCTGGAGCAACCTGGATTCCTCCTGGGGACCCTGGTGCAGTTGGAGTCACTTCCCATTAGTTTTTTAGGAGCTGGAGTGCCCACCTCAGGCATTAATCACAAAATGCTGCAGCTCCTGGACTTTTAATTACTGTGCTGCACATGGATTGTCCCACCCTGGTAATTAATGGCCTTCCTGGGGCTACCGAGGGCCTTGCTCGGTGTTGTTCAGTCTTGATGCAAGGTTGGTGGGAAAATGGGATTTTCAGAGCTGGGAATGGCTCTGGGATGGGGCAGAATGAGCTGCAGCCTGGAAATAATGAGGGATTTATGGTCTGGAGGGTCAGGGTGCTGGAAGAGGAGGCACAAAACAAACTCCAAGTGTGGAATCAACATTGGAGAACCATCCCCAGCTCTTGTCCCTGTCCCAACATTTGGTGGGGTTTTACCTCCTCTCATGATGCCCAGAATTAAAGCACTGTGAGAGGTGGAGGTTAATTATTAATTATCAACAAACGAAAATTGGAAGTCAAAATGCAACCCTCAAAATGGTCCAGCTCCATTTATTTCAGGGATATCCAGAACATTTCCCCGTGCCCAAGACATCACTCTCCTGTCATGGCAGGAATCTCGGAGCCACATCAGCCTCCAAATGCTTCTGCAGGAAATTGGGTTTTTCGCTCTATTAGGAGCATTTCATTTTTGTGATTAAAATCAGACAACAATGTTTTTCCCCCAGTTAAAGTGCAGTGTGCAAAGTACTGCTCTGCTGGAACTGGGTTTTGAAATCCTTATCTAAAGTGCTCAGAAAAGGCATTAATAAATAAGGATGAGGAATGACAACTGCATGGCTGGCGTGGTGCATAATCTGTGTTTGCTGTGAGTTATGGACAACAGGCTTTGGGGGAAAAATAATATTAATAATAATAATACTACAAATTCACATTTTTGTACAAAAATACAACCGGTGATGGTTAAACCCAGGCTGGTTATTTCTGGAGCAGGTATTTGCCCTTCTCCTTTCACCTCTTAATCACCACCACCATTAATTTTATGGGTTATTACCAGAAACGTGGTAAATAAACCACATTAATTAATTTCCCACCTCAACCTGCCTCTTCACATTACAAAAATACAAAAAAA